CAATAGTGTCCGGTTTTCCATTTTAGGCACCAGTGTCCGATTCTGATTTTAGACAGTTATGTCCAATTTTATAAGCTAGAGGGGTTACCAAACCAACGACACATTGTACTTTAAAAATACGTATCTTTATTGCATGCAAAAAATAAATGTTTGCAAGTCGAATAATATGAACATTTACAATGTTATACTGACGGAATCTTAACCTCTAAAGGAATCAACACATCAAGCCTTAGTACAATGTCTTCAAAAATTTCAAATGCGTAGAAATAGAAAAATTTGAGCAATACCCACACAGCTTGAAACCCTTGGTCATCCGTAATTAAGACGATTTCATTCATGGCTACAAAATGCTTAATGGCGATTCACTGCTACTTACAACTTGAATTAACGATTTGGTTTTAGATCCATGATAATTTTCTACAATTTCAAATAATGAAATGATAAATATGAAAATACCCTAAATTTACTTGGACGTTTTACGAGGCTACCCTTGATCGATAGTCCATGATGCTCCCTATGTCCAGAGTAATAAAGCAAGTGGAATGTGAATTTATTTTCATTAATGGGTACCCATACGTCACCTACCAAATAATATAACCTGTATAATAAACATGTGCCTAAATTGTCGATTATATTAACAGAAAAACGCTCTAAAATAGAATCCCAAATAAGGATATAAGAAGCCGTTCGAATGCGGAAAAACGTCCTCAGTAACATGTTACACTTCATTTTCATAACTATTCTTCGACCATAAATTACTACAGCGAACTGTTCAAAATGGAGAACGATGGTGATCTTTCTTCACAAGCGACTTCTGACTTCAAAAGCTAGGCCCATGTAGGCCAAAATATTTAATGCAAAATTGACCCCTATACATCTATCAATTCCTGTACATGAAGAAGCAGTATCTTCATTTTCCCGCAAACATGCATTTAACGGAATGAGCAATTGTGTCAAAAACGATACCAAGTGCTTGGTCATGTTTTTTTTGCTAAAATGAACGCAAACAGATGAATGAAGATATTTCGTTCTTTATAATTCGTGAACGGAAAAACAGTGAACGAAAAAAGACTACCCATTTTTTTAAGCGATGGAAATATTTATATGAAAAAATTTGCGCTTTAAATAATGTTCGGGCACCCGTATGCAACGATAAAATTCCATATAATTTTAGTTACAATTGTACAGATTATCGTGTACAATAGCAAAGACCCCTTTACATCGACAAAAATACCAGTCACCATAATTTAAGTAAATAGAGGCCACTCCCAACGAAATACACTAAGAAGTTATAATTACGACCAGTTTTTTTTCCCTTCTGAATGAAATCAGAAAAGCCAACGATTGGTTAACAGTTTGATTCCAATGGCTGCGACAGCCTCGCTATGGCGGTCTCGAGAGTCATCCTGTGTCCCAGGCTCTTAACTCCCAGTTCGCGCAGTTCAGCCTTCGTTAGTTCGGGAAGATGGATTCCCTGGATGTCGTTGTCCCTGAAAGTCTCTTTATATTGAGCCATGTTTATGGAATCCAACCAGCCGCACACGTCGTCGCAATCCCAGTCTAACACTGGTTTCTCCAAGAATGGTTGCCTAAAAGACAATATTATTCATAGTAAGAATTTATACAAAACAGAGTGACGAAAGTGGTCAGCTAGACTGAAATCTACTTGAAAGGAAAAATAAACCATATTTCACTTCCAATGGCTCATATCCCACCTGATATTGAACAGAAAATGTTCAAGCGAGTTAACACTACTTGTCCGATCCTACGGGCTCGCAGAGAAACCAACCGCTAAATTGGCTTTTAAACAAGAAGGGGCTAGGTTGTGACCCCAATCTCTTTCCCGCAAAAGATCTTACACGATACCTAGAGAAAAACTAGCAGGCTACAACTAGTCTAAGTGAGTTTAGAGTGTTGTTCAGCGGCAGTGCGTTAAGCATAAGAGCGCACTTTTAATCGGTTTACCAGCGTCATAACCCACGCGAAATGTTAGAAGAAAATGAGAACTGAATCACGAGCCGATAGCGAGTAATTGTAGCCTTTCCGAGTGTTGAACCAACATCCTAAGTGGGTTATTACGCAAATAAACCGATAGGAAGTGCCTACAGTCTATAGCTTTTATAAAATAGCCATGGGTTTTCAGGGTAATTTAAAAGGGGGTCTCAATAACCGTAAGGCGAAACCCAAACACGGGAGCCTGCTCGAAAGCTAAACAGACGGTGGTGAGAGGTTTTATAGACCCGCACCCATAAAAGATAAGTTTTTAACAAAACAAAGCGAGAGTTACATCTCAGTTATTATTGTGTAAACAGTAATATATCAGACCACTCATACTAACATTGGCCGAGAGTATCCACCAAATATGGACGATATATCTGTATAGCCTACCGAATCCTGGATTAAGATAAAATACACAAATGTTACGTATATACCAGTGACTTTTAGCTGTGAATTGACAACAACAGGGTTAGGACTATGGACTTCTCTGTGGTTTAAAGAAGACTAGTTTTCAAACATTTTCTATTTTTTTTTAACAATTCAATTAATTTTGGCTATATACGATTTAAATGATCTGGCCGGGTAGTCCTCATCAACAGTCGAATGATAATTAAGAATGAAACAGTTTGGTTCGCCAGTTCTACCTAGTCGTCAAAATCCGGCACGTCAAACACATATCGACGTTTTTCGCTCTCAATCAAATCGCCGCGATCGGCGATTAAATCGCAAAGTGTGTCGCCACCTTAATCTGTCTGTTACTTTTATGTGTGTGCGTCTTGCGAAGGAGAACTATGGAAAAATGCGATACATAACATTTCTAATTCGTATTTTCATCATGCACCACACAGATCAAGAAAAAGAACCACACCTACCTTACTACTATCATCACTTTCTGCTGATGGAGAGGCACAATTTCTGTTCCCAGTATCTTCTTTTGAATTGAACACTAATGTTTTGGATTCCCGCGGTGAAAATTCAGGAGGGGGAGGTAGAGGCGGTGAATCTAACGGCACATGTGGTTCGTCTTTGTCTGTAAATAAATCAGGCGGTGGTGGTAATTCAAATCGACTTTTCCCACTTTCCTTTTCTACTACTGGTGTTTTCAACTCCTCGTCAAGATCTGATTCCTGAGGGACTGCCTCGTTTGGTAGCGTTTCCTTCTGTGAATCAGTTCTCGTTGACTCAATAACTCTGGGTGTTAGTGGTTCGGAAATGTCCATATCATTAGAATCCGTACGAGAAGAAGTTCTAACTGGTTTCGATGAGTCGCTTCGTTTCGACTCAATAGTCAACTTAATCTGAAAACCCTTCTTGGTTGTAATAGTCTTGGTTACTTTCTCTGGCTCAGAGGTTTTCGCAGGTATACTTTCCTCTGATTGAGAGCTGCTCTCGTACCACGGCTTTAACAAATTTTCTGAGTCTTTACTTTGTTCCGCAGGCCATACGGGCGGAGGAACAAACACCTCACTGCTTGAATCGCTGCCTGTGCCACTGTTCCAAGAGTTCAAACTCCAATTTTCACTCTCTGCTTCTTTTCTAATAACTTCGTCCAAAAACATAACAGACTTGTCCTCCTCTGACAAAACCGGAGCAGGTATTTCAAACGGCAGAGAGCGTTCTTCCCCAATTCTTGGTGAGTGATTACCAGTGTTCAAAGTCGTTCTTCCTTCTCTAAATTCGCCTTCGTATTTTCGTTGTCTTAAATCTAAAGAACTGAATCGCTTCTTGGGAGCGACAGGAGGTGAGGGTTTACCGCGAGAATTAACTGCTCTCACTTCCACTTGAGATTTTATTTTGTTATTATTCAGTTCTTTGAGGTCAGGCCCTCTCTGAAGAGCAACATAACTGGGTGAACTTGCAGTTTGTCCAACATACT